AACTAGTCACTTTGTTTGAACCGCGCCCTTTTGATACTATCATTGAGCCAAAACTACTCAATTGGACTGATCTAGAAATTCCTTGAAACTGGTTATTTGATAACATCAATTCTGAACCAAAACTACGCATTACAGAACCCACTGTTGCTACTATTCATGCATCTGGCTCAAATCTTTATATTACCAATAAAGAAAAGCCTCCGCAGTTACAGTGCTCTGCTTCTGCAAGAAGTATCGGATGGGAAAAAATCCTTCCCCCCCGACTGTCTACCGATGCACCTCCTCGTCACAAATTTACTTGGACGGAAAAAGGTAAAGCTCCTATAGATAGAAGCCATGCTCCCTTCTTACCCAGTTCCACTCATCATATGAACTCTGCCAAGTTTTTTCATTTTCGCACCGGAAATGATGAAATCCTCATTGCTCCTTCACAAGGACGAAAACGTAAACATACCTATGTCAATGATCTATTTAATTTCAAAGGATATAAACCATATAGCCTTTGTGTCCTTATCGATACCGGAGCTACCACCAGTTGCTGCCGATACAATGCTATTCCACTAGAAAAATGGTAGCAGATGAAACATCCAATTGGTGTCCAAGGTATCGATGCCGAAGCACCCATGAATGTTATACAATTTAAAGCAAAAGATGTTGCTATTTGGTTGAATGATAAAAAATTCATTGTTCCAAAAATCTTTTGTTTCCCATACATGCATGGTGATTTCATTCTTGGATGTAACTTTATATATAGTTACCTTCCTTTACAGTTAAAAGAAAAAACCATTTCTTTAACTCTAAAAGATCAAACAGTTGTTGAAATTCCGATTCAAGAAAATTTAGCTTCTGTTTGTAATGAAAAATTTTCTCCCCCAAAACGTGAAAATAATTTACTTGTCTTAAATGATACCCACTGGTTATATGACTCCTTACGCCAAAATTTTTCTGATAATCCATTAAACTTGTGGAAAAGAAGTCCTCGTTTTGCAGCTTAAAACTCAAGGACGATAACGTCATCATTCGTGTCAAACCAATGATCTATCTTCGCAAAGATATCGACGAATTTGACACTCAGCTTCAAGACCTACTTGAAAAGAAGCTCATTGAACGTACCCGCAGTCCTCATAGCAGCCCTGCTTTTATGGTAAGAAACCATAGTGAGGTAAAAAGAGGTAAAGCCCGAATGGTAATCAACTATAAACGGCTTAATGAACATTTAATCTTTGATGGTTATTTTATTCCTAGAAAAGATGTTCTTCTCAATCAAAATCGTGGAGCAAAAATCTTTAGCAAGTTTGATTGTAAAGCTGGTTTCTGGCAAATCAAATTACGAAAGAAATCTAAGCCATTAACTGCTAGTTTCGAGATCTTCAGCAGAGGCTGAGTATCGTGCCATGGCCTAAGGTACTTTTGAGATTCTTTGGCTTCGATCTTTCTTGGAGGAACTAGGGCTAAGTGAATAACAGTCCTTAGACTTGTTTTGTGATAATAAGTCATCATACTTGCTTCAGATTCTGTTCTTCACGACGGGACTAAACATATAGAGGTGGACATCCATTTTATCAGAGAGAAGGTTCGTTTGGGGATTATCAAGCAGTGCTTTGTTCGGTCCTCTAATCAGTCGACAGATGTGTTCACCAAATCTGTTGGTCCATCTTTGCTTCATTCCTTGAGTACCAAATTGGGCTTGATTGATATCTTCACTCCAGCTTGAGGGGGAGTGTTGAAATATCTGTATTATTATTATTTTTATTTTTATTAGCTTTTTTCAGCATTTTATTAGGTGTTTTATGTAAGATCCCTATTATCATGGGATCACGTAGATAAGATCCCTATTATCATGGAATCACGTAGATTTTGGCATATTTCCTGTTTTTCTTTAATTTGGTTTCCTTTCTTTGTACCCTATTCTTGTATATAAATATAGCTCTTGGCTCTCGGATTGAGGAAGCCAAAACCCAAAACTTCTTCTTTTAGAAGAATAAATGGAATGCTCATTTCATCATCATTTCAGGTCTCATTTCCATATGATTTTTCATATGTTAGGGAAAGGTCCAATCTGATATAGAACATCTAATTGTGTAGATACCTACGCTCTGAAACTCGATGCGGTTGGACAATTGGAGATCTCCTTGGAATATTGAAGGCTTGACTCTCCCTAAAGCTGGTTTCTCTCATTTGAGAGTTTCTGGATGGTCTTGGGATAGAGAAACCATAACCAAGATATATATATGTATATTTCTGGTACATACATAATGATGATGAGTTTTTTGCAGCTGAAATGGCTTTGTGTTGTGTGATTTTCCTGTGCTGCTATGATAATATATATGTATATATATAGAAAGAGAGAGATAGAGAGAGAGGGTAGAGGTGGTCCTGTGCTGCTATGATAACAGAGAGAGAGAGAGAGAGAGAGAGAGAGAGGATGGGCAAGGGTGGTAGAGGTGGAGTTGAACCATCTTCTAAGCCAAAAAGCTGTTAGGCATTATTTGGTATTTTTTTTGTTTTTGTTTTTTTGTGTGTCTAGGTCTTTCCTTCACTGTCTACCTTTCTCTAAGTTCTGATTCAGAATTTCAACCTTGGACTTGGGTGTTCCATTGCCTTGGAAGACATTGTCATCTTGCTTTTAAATTAGAGATAAGATCACAACCCATATTAGTAATTAAAGTAGGTGAGATTGTACAAAATCATGAAGGATACTGAGGTTTGAGGAGGAGAGAACCTAGGAGTTGGTGGCGATGCGAAGTGGTGGTGGTGACGACACTAGTGGTCGTAATTAGAAGATGGGAACAATATTGTTTTAATTATTATTATTATTATTATTATTTATAATTAAAGAGAACAATTGTACAAGAGATGGGGGTTCTAGTGGTTGTAATTAGAAGATGGGAGCTACATTATTTTAATTAAAGAGGACAATTGTACAAGAGATGGGGGCATAGCCCCATGGTACCAAATCCCAGCTCAGAGGAAAAAGAATAACCACCAATCCCACCAGCAATTTTGTAAAGAAATGGTAATCAGTATAAATCTACACCAAGCAAACCGCCATTTACCACTCCTAGCCGGCAACCAATGCCATTCAGTGGCAGTATCCCATCCCACCTTCAGCCTGCAGTTCCAAGGGCATTGGAAGAACATATAAGCCAAACAACATAGACAATTTCCTGCACCAAAAAACTGTTCATACCAGTAAGCAACATTCCAATCCTTTGACTGAATAGCACAGAGAACAAAGTCTAACATCCTCCACCACAAAAACATTAAAATAGGTCAGAGAACAAAGTCTTAGCTTTCTGGTTCATAGCTCTGTTACAACAGGAAAATTCCCTTTACTATGAGGCTATTAAAGACTTTTTTTATCAAAATGAAGGTGATAATTGACATACTGTGAAAAATTCCTTAATGAACTTAATGGTGCATTAAAGCCAAGGGAAATATCTGAAATTTAATGAAACCTCAAGGAGGTCGACTGCAATTTCCACAAAGTTTTATCTGAAAGTGATGAGCTAAAAAACCTCATGGGAGATCCAGGTAATTTCATTCTTTATTTTTTCTTGGCTCTTGTATTTTGAAGTAATTATTTTTCATGTAAAACTTTTTACATGTAATATACTTTTTGTTTTTAAGTTCTCCGGTGTTTGGTGTCTCAGGAAAAAATGAACTGTTATGATCTCTGACTCACTCTTTCTTCAGTCTTCATCTCTCCTTCAATTTCCTTCTTTTTATCCAATTCCAACTATGCATGATGCATATCAACTTTGTTTCTAGTTTCTACGTCAAATTTTTGACATTGTTGCCTTCTTCATTTTCTCAAGACTTTATCCATCCTTTCACTCTCTTTGCTTCCACTATTTTCTAGGGTTTGTACTGTTGCTTCTTTTAGCTCCCTATCCAACCAACAGCCAGAGCGGTAGACAGACGACGATCTCTCTCTGGAGGGGTGATGTCCTAGCAAATTTCCTTTGAGTCTATTATACGTGCTGAATTACAGTTGAAATTGCCCTTCGGGACTATTGCCCTTTTCATTAACCACTATGGCTCGAACTTCTGTGTTAATCTTCGTTCATCCAAAACAGCAGTCTCTCTCTCCCTCTCTCTCTCTCTCTCTCTCTCTCTCTCTCTCTCAGCTGATCTTTGCTCAACCAAAACAGCGTCTCTCTCTCTGCTGATATTCACTCAACCCGAAGCATCGTCTCTATCTCTCACGCGCACATACACACACATACACACATTATATGGTGCTATACTGCTGTGTTGGGACAGAGAACCAGTGATTTGGAATATGTCATTGCCCTGTTACTTCAAATGTTAAAACATTAAGTAGTTTTTGGTCATTTGATGTACCTTGCAAAATAAAGTTTAAATGTTAAAAGGTAACCAAACACCAAAAAATGCTAAAAATGCTTTTTGGAAAACATTTTGCATTGAAACAAACAGAGCCTTGAAGTGTTTGGTTAGGCCATACTTTACTGTTAATTTGACTCTTTATGAGATGAACTAAATTCCTGAGATGAACTTTGTGGGTTTTGACAAAATAAGAATATAATGTGAGAGAGCTTGGGTTTTATGCCATTGCTACATTTTTGCCAACCGAAACCTTGTTTATTCAAATACCTTTTCTTCTTTGGGGGGAATCATAGCAGTTTGTACTTTGTACTGCTTGAGTAGCCATAATCCTAGAGACACATGCTTCAAAAGATTACTGTATACATGACATTACAGCTCAACCTACAGGTCCCTGGTTGCATAACTGAATTGACTTGTGTTTCATCTTCATGATCTTATTGCGGCTTGTGTAGAAGTTTTGTAGTTGCTGCTATTTATTCCTGTGGAAATGGTCTTTTGTTTTCATAACTATATATTGTTCCTCCCTCCTCCTTTCCCCTGGTGCCTTTGTGTTTCAGGGTTTGAATATACTTAGAAAACATCTTTTATTATTATTATTTTTATCTTTGTGCTTCCTAATACCTTTTTTTTTTTTTTTTTTTTTATATCAGACGCAGGGTGAACTTGTGGAAGCAGTTGATCGTGACCTGAGAAAGACGCTAATAAATTCTAATGCAAAGGATCCACTTGTTTTGGGGGTGAAAGTGTGGCCTCAAGCCATTCCACAGTTCTTAATTGGTCATTTTGACATCGTTGATTCTGCAAAAGCTGCTCTTAAAAATGGTGGATTTGAAGGGCTGTTCCTTGGAGGCAATTATGTATATGGTGTGGCCTTGGGCCGATGTGTGGAGGGTGCTTATGAGGCCGCAGCAGAGGTAACTGATTTTTTGTCACAGTATTTGTACAAATAGTTAAATTTGTGGTGGAATTTTTGAATAAATACTCCATTTGTTAGAAAAAGCACAATGGGGATATTTTCTTCTGCAGTACCCGTAAATCTCTGGTAGCTTTTGTTAGTGAATGGGGTTCCTTCTGTTGGGTATTCTTGGTGTGGCATTGTTTGTTGACTCTTAATTTATGTTAGTCCAATATAGCTCGAGAACCATTGCGTGGGCAATCATGCCTTTCTATGTAGAAATTAAACTTGTCTGTAGAAGCGATTAGTATATGTTTGAAAGAGCTGAGGGGTTTTTACAGGACATAGTTTGATAATCCAACGTTTAAGCTGCTGTCCTCTCTTTCAATAGGGCAATGAACAAAGCCAGGCCTTGTCTTGAAGCATATCATAATTATCTTTTATTGATGGGAGCTTAGAATTTTGTTGTATCCTTCTATGGAGAGGGAAATCCTCTGATAGTATTTTGTTGTTGTTTATATGTTGTGTCGTGTGTTTGTGCGCACACATTGATGTGTTGAACCATAGTGATTGATATTACATGTAGGTTTCGTTTGGATTGATGGGATTCGAAGGAAAAGAAAAGAAAGAAAGAAAGAAAGGAAGGGATATTGATATTTGGTTTGTTAATGAGGAGATAAAAGAAAGGATTTGGAGAAATTTGGAGGGATACCTTATCTCTCCATATCTCTCATTTGCTATCCTTCCAAAAGTGGGAAGATTTGGAGATAGAATAACAATTTAAGTGACACTTTCATAATACCAAAAATAACCTTAATATTTTAATAAAAAAGTTTAGAAGACTTTGGATCCCACATTAAATTTAGGATATGGTAGTAAAATGGCTAAAATAGTTTATTTTCTTTTCTCTCTTTTACTTTTTCCAAACAAGAATGTTATCATTTTTTTTTTCTTCATTATTTATCCACGTATGAATATAGGTAATTGCTATCTTTTCCTTTTTTCCATAACTAATGTTACCCTTTGTTTATTTATTTATTTATCCAAATGAAGCCTGTAATGAATTTTTGACATTATGCATGCATGCATGCAATGCTAGAAAGAAGAATCTAATGTCAATACATAATTGCAAATGACAAGGAAAAATTATAACCAATTCCTACTTCTCTTATTGAATGACAAATAAGTCCTGAAAATATTCTTTTGGATAAGCTCATGGCGATGGAACTCAAAGTTTGAAGATCAAGTTCAAGACCATGGGGCCGAGAGTTTGGTGAGAGTTGGAATCTTTGTAAAGTAATAGTATGTCACATTATGATTCAAATGCTTTTAAGGTCCTCCTCAATAAGGAAAATTGGTTCAGCCAATACACTTAAAATGATTTTCATGAAAAAGGTTGTCATTTGGGGTCTTGGTTCCACTTTTCAGCCCCAAAATACTATGCTTCAAATTTGATAAAGTGAATAGAGATGTAGCTTGTTTGCTTTGTATAAGTCATTCTTATCCTTGTGACGCGGCACCGCAATAGTGGATAAGCTTGAAAGTACTAGGTACAGCCTATAGGACGTTTGCTGGCTCCATAACAGACAGTCTTCTCCTTGTAGAGTTGACTAAGACCATTTTTAATGTAAATGTTATTTATGCGTGTCAAATTTATATTTTGAGAGTAGTTATAATGTCAAAATTTTATATTTTAACAATTTTATTTTAATGGTGTATTTCATCCAAAATACTATTTTTTGACACAACAATCATTATTTTTCGACTACCATTCCTAACTATAATTTTAAACAACCATCTTTTTTTTTTTTTTTTTTTTAGCTTATTTGCCTTATTAAAAATAAATAAATAAAAACATTCATACACACACACACACACACACATACAAGCACAATTGACATATATATATACACAAGCCCAACACCAAATTGGCAGCCTAACACCAAATTGGCAGCCCATGCGAAAGAGAAGGAAGAGAGCAATAGCAGATTTGACAATAGTTATATGTTGTGTTATATTTGGTACAACATTTGACAAAGTTATATTTTGGCAGTCCATTTAGCATGCCATTGGAAAGTCCATTTTAAACCTACGTGCTATATTTTGAAAATAGCAGCCCAAATAGCAGCCCATTGGAGTTACTTTAACTGCTAGAGTTCAAAATCCCTGTTTAGAGCAGCAAGTTGTCTACTACTTATAGAAGAACATACATCTGCTCACAATGGAACTGTTAGGTTTCACACACAATTGGCCAATGGGCATAGCGATGAATTTCCTTATGTGGGGGCAATCTTTAATAGCAATAATGTATAATCTGTAATCCTAGTTCGTAATGAATATTTGCTAAGTCAATCTCCATACGACTTTTTGTTGAGTTGTCATCATTTCTTTTTTGAGGGGATGGTAAGTCTTATATTCCTTTGTAATATCTTTTCAAATTATTCATTACTGTTTCAAAATTGAGTTCATTCAATTAAATGTACTAAAAAAAAACATATTCAATAAATCAAGAATAAGATATGAAAAAGAAAATAACACAGTTACTTAAATCTAAGTGTTCTAATATATCACATATGTAAAAAAAAAATAAAAATAAAATTCCATGATAACCAATTTCTTTTCAAAAAATTCAATGTTTACAAACATTCTTAATAACTACTATGTCATAATGCCAATCTACTCATAATAAAAATTCATTCATATTAAAAATAAAAAAAATGAAATAAAAAACAAGATATGTAGATAATTAACCTTACAAGTTATTATCAGATAATCCAATTAATTGAAAAATTTGAAAAAGTAAGTGAATATGTGATTTCATTGATTTGGGCTGCAAATAAAAAAAATTCTAAATCTTATTTAGAGAATAATAATTAGTAACACAATTACACAAATTAAATTTTGAAAGAACAAAAAATCCTAAAATAATTTTGATAGTAATAACTAAAAATTTTTCTAATTAAAATTATAATATCAAATAATAATCGTAAAAAAAATATATTAGATTACCTGTCTACCGCAATGTAGTATGACTGACTGAGTTTGTCTACTAGTAAATGGTTGCTCCGCTTGCTTTGCTTGGATTGTGAATTTGTGAAATGTTGAAGAATCGCAAAAAGGAAAATGTGATGGAAACAATCCATTTGTTTGTGGTAAAGTCAAAAGTGTGAAAGAATATCTTGATGAAATGTTTTTTTTATTTATTAATTTAATTTTTTTTTGGGAAAGTGAGAAAGAATATAATATTTTGGGAAAGTGGAAAAAAATATCATATTTTATGGAAAAGTGATAAATTGATAGATATATTATATATATTTACAATTGTGTCATAATTATATTCCTTTTTCTGAATGGGCTTTTAGTTATATATATATATAGTTTATATATGTGCACTGTCAAATTTTAGAAGGACAATTATATACAAATATAAAAATCTTTCCATATAAAATTTAAAAATATTAAAAGTTCAGTGGGAGCAGTTGCCCCTACTTTTCCCTCTGTGGCTACGAATTTATCGGCAAATATAACAGGAAAAAAAAAAAACGCAAGCAAGAAAAGAGATTTACGTGGTTTGGCAAATTGCCTAGTCCACGGGCGAAGAACGACTAATTTACTTTAAAAACTTGATTACACACTCTTTTCTCTCTCACAATCTCTACAATTTTCTCTCATACTCATATCTATTTATAGTCTTCAAACCCAATTCCTTGTTGGACAAGTATCAACTTGCCTACAAGGAGTTACCATATCAGTCTTCAACTCTAAAATACATCTACAACTTCTTCTCCAAGTCTTTTGGGTTCCAAAACCAATTAAGAAACTGTTTCTCACATCTTCCAATAACTCACTGTCCAAGTTGAACCGGTTCAGCTCCATTTGAACTGGTTCAATTTAGGCAATAGCCAAAGCCAAAAAACTACATGCGCATGTTAAACCATTTCAGCCCCACTTGAACTGTTTCAACTTTGACAGTAGCCAAAGATAAGCCAAAATCGGCAACTTTGAACACCCCAATTTTTTACGTAATCAACACATGATCAAAATATGTCTTCACGTACGTGCTCCACCTCGAACAATGATTTCTTCATAGCTCCACCTTAACTAAAGATTTCTCTACCTCAAATAAAGCACTATGATAAAATTGAGAAACACTCTAACAAGAACATGAAAAGTACAGAAACTCTAGACGCTAGACCATTTAAACTTTGTTTATAAACAGTCTCAATAACACTCTTACAGCTAAATAATTTGCTGAAACTATAAATACAAATCCCCCGTGAAACGAGAAGGGAGATAAAGATTTGAGAGGTGCTTTTGAGAGGTGATGACATAGGCTGGGTTGTTGTACCTCGTAAATCTTGGTGTTATGAGTTTGAAATTTCTCTTTCCCTTAACTCCTTATTTGTTGAGCTTTGCATATTGTGTTTTTGTGTTGAATATATCAGTCAAGTCTGTTAGCACTTCAAACACCAAGCTGCCTCACTCTGTTTGCACACCAAACATCTTGTATTCATACACTGTTAGTACACAAGTATTGAGCACCCAAACACATACTCTGTTTGTGCGCTAGTTAAGTTAAAGAGATTAGGATTGATATACTGCTGCTAATCCATTCATATTCACATGAAACGTTCAAGATGAAATCGGTTGAGTCTATCAGTGAAATGTTTACCCGATTGACTACTATTGTGAATGGATTGGATTCTCTTGGCAAACCTTATGATAATACTCGATTTACTACCTATGATAATATCCGAAACATCCGTAGGACTTTGCCAACGAGTTGGGAGCTGAAGGTGATCACGATTCTATTAGAGTGTTTCTTAATTCGTCATAGTGCTTTATTTGAGGTGTAGAATCTTCAGTTGAGGTGGAGCTTTGAAGAGCTTGAGGTGGAGGTATGAAGAGATCCTTGTTCGAGGTGGAGCTATAGAGAAGCACGTGAAGATAGACTTTTAAGCCAAGGTAGAGATTGTTAGGTTTGTGGCTCAAAATTTGTATGCAGAAAATTAGTTTCCTTTTTGGTTTTAGAAGGTTGAAATTTGTAGAGGAAATCGTATCCCATTATGTTTCTATTTTAGAGTTGAAGTTGGATATGGTAACTCCTTGTAGGCAAGTTGATCCTTGTCCAACTAGGAATTGGATTTGAAGAATACTTGTCCAATAAGGAATTGGGTTTTGAAGAC